TCCCATGAATTGCGTGTTTATTGTGTGCATCATGGAAAAGTTCTTTGCTGTCACATTAAGAGACAAATCTTTAACGAACTAGTACTTTTTATAATTTTAATTGTTGAGTGCAAGCTGCCCTGCAGACACGCAACATTTCCAAGTTAAGTGATTACTTTATAGAAACTTTTTATACCTTTACCTATACGTGTTTAAGCCTATAAGAAGTTAATTTTTTTGCCTCAAATAATGTTGTATCGAAAAACTTGTCTAGGTGTAGCGAAAATAATATATGAACTGTAAATTTTAGAATTCCATCCTGTGTAACCTAGGTAGTTGAGGAAGAGGAACTAGGCTAGGCCTACCTACCTAGTACTATACTAAAAGTAAAATATTTTTTCCTTGCACTTCCTCAGCTAGTCAACCTAATCTAACCATAATGATTTTGACAAGACTGCAGGCTTGACAAGGTTTCTTATTCCAATCTGTAGAGTTGAAAGGCTTTAAACTTTGAAGATTTAAAGCATTTTCTCAAATTGAATTGATACTAGGTACTAGCAATGAGCAACTTGAAATGCCACTTCTTTTTCCATTTGCTGCTGGCATACCTATAGACCTGTATTTTGCATGTTTCAATTTAAGTTTAACTTATCTAGTAAAAAAATGGCATCGTTATGAAAAAAAGTGGTCAAAGTTACCCCATTTTAGGGTACTCAAGTTCTGTTTGCTTTATGTGACTCTCAAAACACCACACTATGCGTCAGCAACGATGAAACGTCACAAAATGTTGCCATATTTATTTAAAGGCCTTTAGAAAGCAAGCCTACCAAATCCCTATATTCCGTCACTGTGTGTGGCTATATTTGGCACGTGGTGAGGCGTATTCCGTCCGCGCTTCAAATTCTACTGATACATAATGCCGTCATCCACATGTTCGAATTCCGTTCGCTGTGTGAGCTGTATTGGAATACAACACGGCTTTGAATTAGAACACTAATGAATATTGAACACTACTTAATTATGCTTTTAATTAACAACTATTAAACTTTTAATTAAGCAAATTTTAATTTTTGTACACAGCTTGGAACGATCTGTGTGTGTCCAATTCAAGTTGTGAGGGAATTAGTTTTCATGTGTCTAAATCCATTTCTCAACTTAATCATCTATCAATTTATTTACCACTTGAAATCAGCAAATACAAGTATACTTAAAGGATTCCTAATATATTCACAGATGTATTTAAAAGTCTCAAACCATAATATTCTTCCTATACTACAAACAGTTATTCACTATTTGGTAGAGCAAGGTCAACTGTCAAATTTGACACATTTTTCGATGATCTCACTGAGTAGCATGCATTGTCTCTCTTTGGATCTCAATATTTTCCTGCTAGATGGCCAAGACCTAGTGTTTTGGCAGTAGTTTGATGCGCAAATGTATGACGTCACCATTTCAACCATCAACGAACGCATGGAACTAAAACAAAGCTTAATATAAAGGAAAAACTAGAGAGGTGACGGAATTACCCACAATGTCAGAATATACCGCGTTCACCCTACCGCGTTTACCCTAGGTATATTCCATATATACCAGCAGCCATAGTGGCAAACCACAGATTTTTTAGCATCAGTTCATTTTTAATTTCCTCATTTACCCAAGATTTAAATCAATTTCTTAGGGTAAATGCGGTATATTCTGACACATTAAGGACGCATCAAGAAATAAAAAACTGTAAAAAAAATAACCGTATGCGTTACTCAAGTTCTGTTGGCTTTATGTGACTTGCAAAACACCGTACTACGCGCCAGCAATGGTGAAACGTCACAATATGTTGCCATATTTATTTAAAAGCCTTTAGAATGCAAACCTACCAAATCCCTATATTCTGACACTGTGTGTGGCAATATTTGGCACGTGGTGAGGCCTATTCCGTCCGTGCTTCAAATTCTACTGATATGCAATGCCGTCATCCACGTGTTCGAATTCTGTTCGCTGTGTGAGGTGTATTGGAATACAACATGGCTTTGAATTAGAACACTAATGAATATTGAACACTACTTCATTACGCTTTTAATTAACAACTATTAAGCTTTTAACTAAGCAAATTTTAATTTTTGTACACAGCTTGGAACGATCTGTGTGTGTCCAATTCAAGTTGTGATGGAATTAGTTTTCATGTGTCTAAATCCATTTCTCAACTTAATCATCTATTAATTTATTTACCACTTGAAATCAGCAAATACAAGTATACTTAAAGGATTCCTAATATATTCACAGACGTATTTAAAAGTCTCAAACCATAATATTCTTCCTATACAAAAGTTATTAACTACCTATTTGGTAGAGCAAGGTCAACTGTCAAATTTGACACATTTTTCGATGATCTCACTAGGTAGCGTGCATTGTCTCTCTTTGGATCTCAATATTTTCCCACTAGATGGCCAAGACCTAGTGTTTTGGCAGTAGTTTGACGTGCAAATGTTTGACGTCACCATTTCAAACATCAACGAACGCATGGAACTAAAACAAAGCTTAATATAAAGGAAAAACTAGAGAGGTGACGGAATTATCACGATATCGGAAATTGGAATATACCGCATTTACCCTATGTATGATAGTGATACAGTCAGGATGGAATTCTAATATTGACGGTTCATATATTATTCCCGATACACCTACACCAGTTTTTCGATACAACATTATTTGAGGCAAAAAAATGAACTTCTTATAGGCTTAAAACACATATGGGTATGCTAAGTTTTTATAAGGTACCTAATTCACTTGGAAATGTTGCGTGCCAGCAAGGCTGCAGGCGCAGCTTTCACTCAACAATTAAAATTATAAAAAGTATTAGTTTGTTAAAGATTCGTCTCTTAATATGACTGCAAAGAAGTAAACTTAATAAAGTAATTACAGCTACCGTGACTACGCTGTCAAGCAGACTTTTCGATGATGCATACACTAAACACGCAATTCATGGGAGCGAGAGTGCGAGACTACATAGAACAACAAAACAAGGCGCCCGGCATGCAACTGCGAAAGCAAATGACGATCGCGGCAGTGGCGGCACGGATCATAACATTAATATAGTCAATGCAATGTTGCCGCGTGTCTCCCGCGGGTGAGGCAAACACGTTGCCTACTTCTACTTGATAGGTTGGCAACAACCTACTTAGGGAATGGATAATGATGAGACTAAAATTTATCTTTTATTATGGACAAATAAGACAGAATTTAAATTGCCGTTCAAGTAAATGGCTCTTATTTATGAAATGAGCACGTATGGTGCATAGGTGACTGGAGAATGTCAGTATATACCTAAAGAGTTTCAGAGCATAGGACTAACAAGCATAGGAGTTAAGGAACTAAGGAGAATAGGAGACATGGAGCGTAGGAGCATGTAACTAACTAGAACAGGAGCATGGACTAACGTACATAGGAGCATGGACAAGATGCATATGTGATCTGCCATAAAAAGAAAGTAAAACTTATTAATTTTATGCATCATAGCCCTAAGACTATAAGATATAGAATTGGATTAAATATGAACAAGCATTAATTAACAAGCAGAAAAACAGTAATTATCAAGAACCTTAATAATGACTTCTTAGAGCAACTGTGTTGCTTATGGATGCATAAAAAGTAATCAAGCAAACTTATATTGCAGCAAACAGCTTAATGAAGAATTAATGAATATCAAAATATATAGCTTGCAGAATTAAAACACACTGAACACAATTAATAGAAAATCAGAAAACAAAGCGAAATCACAATAAATATAAACCATTTGTAATATAACATAAATTGAGCAATAAAATGAATATATGCAATAAATAATCACTCACTTCCTCTCAAGTGGTGAGTTAGCTTAGGTTCCCATACTGGTGCAGTTATTAGTTATTCATTGGAATTTTGCATTAGGATTATGCCTTAGTTTTGGAATTTACTTTACATTAATGATTTTACTTCCTTGTCTGGACTAGAGAAGAAAACGGAAAAATTACATAATGAGAAAAACACAGCACAGACATTAAATAAACGAGCATGAAAGCCAAAGGGTTGGGCTAAAAAGCAATATAGCTCCCCCTGCAACAGCAAGAGAATGATTAATTATGATATTTCTGATATAGATTTGAAATATTTTCAGAAGCCTAAAACTATAACAA